TAGGCCAAACATGATTTCCACTCAATGCCTCTTTTGCAAGCCACAGCACCCAAAAGGAGAGAGAAAACAAAAGGGAATGAAGGGAATGCCCTGCCTCAGGGCTGCGGTGGGATGGGGGAGGGGAGGGATTCCGGGAGCATTGGAGGTGGGGAATGGGCACTGTTGGAGGGATGGGTACTCAGTCATTGTTTAACTGAAACCCAGGCACAAAAATCTGAAAGTCTACAACTGTACCTCATGGTGTTTCACAAAATAAATAAATAAATAAATAAATTATAAAAATAAAAACAGAATACAAAGAATCAAATGAAATGGAATAAAAATTACAATTAAATGGAAAAAAAAACAAGAAATGGACAAAAAAAGAAATTAGTGCTTTTAGGGCACATATAACTCTATGCATTCACTTGGTCAATTTGTTTCTGATAGCACAGCGGTAGGGCGTTTGTCTTGCACGCAGCCCACATGGCCGACCCGGATTCGATTCTTCCGCCCCTCTCGGAGAGCCTGGCAAGCTACCGAGAGTATCTTGCCCTCACGGCAGAGCCTGGCAAGCTCCCCGTAACGTATTCGATATGCCAAACACAGTAACAACAAAGTCTCCAATGGAGACGTTACTGGGCCGCTCCTGCAAATCGATGAACAATGGGAGGGCCTTTACCTTTACCTTACCACTTCTTTACACACTAGTGCCCCCTGCTGGAGAACTGAATACTGGACTGAGTAAAAAGAAATTTTAAAGGCTTGATGGGTAGAACACTTTCTATAATTCTTTATTGATAAAGATAAAGAATGAATTAAGACCTCTGTATTAAACAGAAAATCTACTACCAGTTTTGGTAAATAAATGTTATTTATAGTTTTCTTATAAAGGTTCTGAAATCATGTATAAGATGCGGTTTATTCAGAGAAGTATATTCTAAATGAATTTTTAAAAATCATTTGAGGCAATTTTCTTTAGAAAAGTCAAGTTTCATTAGAGAGTTAATATGCTATGACACTCATTTTATTAAAACATTCAATTGATTAAACTATATTTAATAAAATATAATTAGTGTAATTATTTCATCAAATAACCAAGTCATCAAGTCATAATCTTAATGATGTAGTGGTAGTAGTAGTGATAAAGACATAATATGAAGAACTTTATGGTGCTCTAGTGATAGTACAGCCAATAGGGTGCTTTTCTTACACACAGCCAACTTGGGTTTGATCCCTGGTAGCCAGTTTTGGTCCCCTGAGCCCTGCCAGGAATGATTTTTGAGTGCACATCCAGGAGTAAGCACTAAACACAACTGGCATGGTCCCCAAACCAAAAACTAAAGCAAAACAAAATCAGTAAGAACTCAATATGTGTCATATTTTGTCATAGCATATTCAGAAGTTGGTGTTATTTACACCTTGAAAAATTGAGCATCACATAGACTAATGAATTCATCCAGGGCCACACATTCTGATGACTAATGGAGCCATTGTTTGAAGATTATTGTATCTCACCCTGCGACCATTCAGCCCTAGTCTATGAGATTACTAACATGTTGTTACAGGTTCAGCCTCATGTGTTAATCTTTTCTTAATCGAGATTGCTTGCCTTCTACTTTACATGGCATCCAATGTGATGTGCTATTCCTGGTGTATCAGTGGTGTAGAGTGTGAGATGCTGTGGTAGCATGCTCCAGGAATTCTAAAATTTTGATGGGGTGACACAGTCACTGTCGCTGTCCTGTTGTTTATTGATTTGCTCCAGCGGGCCCGGTAACATTCTAAGACTTGTTACTGTGTTTGGCATATCCAATACACCACGGGGAGCTTACCAGGCTCTGCCATGCGGGCAAGATACTCTTGGTAGCTTTGCTGGGCTCTTCGAGAGGGGCGGAGGTATCGAACTCAGGTTGGCCAGCTTGGCTGCATGCAAGGCTGCATGCAAGGCCTTACCCGCTGTGCTATCGCTCCAGCCCAGGGAGGGAGGTGATACAGCTGGAGTTAAATTTTTAGCTGTATGGTGACTTTGGGGTTTGGAAGCATCTCTGCAGCTTGTTACTCTCTTTCAAGATTTATTTACAAGTCTGTGTATCATGGCAAGTTAACGAGCTTATATGGTAGCAGAGGTAGTTCATTGGTGTAATTGCCAGACTCATTGGGAGAGGTCGTTTATCCCTGACTCTGTGAGAGCCTGGAGATTTCAGTCCAAACCCATATACCTGATTTCTCAGTATCAATATCTTGGTACTCCAGATATACATTCAGCTGGCATGGTATCTGGAAGAATATCTGCAGCTTGCTGATCTCTTTCAAGATTTATGAGTCTCTAGATCATGGTCAGTTGCCGCGCTTATATGGCACCAAAGGCAGTTCATGGTTGTGACTGCCAGGCTCCTGGAAGAACCGGGGGCTGAAGGGGATGTTGCGCATTCTGACTCTGTGAGAACCTGGAGATTTCCAACATTGTATTTCTTTCTTTCTTTTTTTATATTTTTATTAGTGAAACACCATGAGGTACAGTTGTAGACTTACAAATTTTTGTGCTTGGGTTTTAGTTATACAATGGTCGAACGCCAGTGCCCATTATCCACCACCATTTATCCCAGTGTCCCTCCAACTCCCCCATCCTCCCCATCTCATCCTGCCTCTGTGGTAGGGCATTCCCTTTTGTTCTCCTACTCATTTTGGGTGCTGTGGTTTGCAAAAGAGGCATTGAGTGGCAATCATCGAACATTGTATTTCTAACTGAAGTTTTTAACTTCTAAATGGATGATTGTTACTTACTGGCAGACTGAGCACTTTCATGTAGAATCTCTTTAGTAGATGAAGTAGTGGAACCTCCCTCATTACTCTCTGTAATGGATTTCAGATCAGATAAAGTACTGTTAGATGTATGCTTATGCTGGCATCTTGCTGGGTTTCTTGGACATACTATATGCCAAATTATCTCATTCACCAGTGTAGGGCTGATTACTGTGCATCCTCGAGTTCCGTGAGTGGTGGTTGTGTATACGAGGTAGCTCTCCCTATGTATCTTTTATCTCTTTAAAGTTGAGTGCTTCTTTCAGAGATGAGTGATGGAGTGTTGTGGATAGTGTTGCCATGGTTATTTGGAGGTTGACCCATTGAAGCATTTTACAGAACACATGAGAATGTTTTGGTAAATCTTTTCTACATTTAAGTGACAGTTATTTTACCTTCATATGATTATAAATTATGTGATCAAGAGAAAAAGAGAAACTATAGAAAATTATGTTAAATTCAAACTACTGAAAGCTTCTAATACTCAGAAAACTAGACACATGATGTCTTGTGTAGTTTTGGAAACAAAATGGGTTATTATTACCATCAAGAAGGACTATCTGTTTTTCTTTATGAGATGTGAACAATATTGGCCTACCATTGTTTATGCTCTTCATATTTGATATACAGTGGCCCTGTGTTCTGCCTCCTGTTTTGAGAGTAGCTGTAAAAAACATTACAATAAACACTCTGCCTAGAATGTGAGGTCATAGTAATATGACCTCATGGGAGCCAGATCCTTGGAAGCCCTAGACGACCAGCTGACACTGGAATTGTGGGGTGAAGAATACTGGCTCGTAAGGGGAAATATGGCTCAGGGACACCCTCAGTTATGTGATGAGTTCTTTCTGGTGTTTGTCTGATTGCTGGTGAGTTTGGGGTGCCATCATGTTCTCAAATTTCTAATAAAAGTAATTTTTATTCGCTTCAAGTAATGTCATAAATTATGAAATGGGACAGAATGAAACTATCTAGAAATGGAGGTATTTATTCTTGCCCTATTTTCAGTTTCTTTTTTTCTGAAGGTTTTGTAAAGACAATCCAGAGAATTCTGATGCACACATGTTTTCAGATTACCCTCTGCTAGTGAATCTGTGAGAAAGATATGAAATAAAATAGAATGGGCAAAATAGTAGAAATAAGGGGTAACTGTGAGAAATGAGAAACATGAAAAACAGGAATTAGTTTGACTTCAACATTATAAGAATGTTCATTAACATGTCTCATATTTGAGCACAATATTTATAGTTCTATAAGTGGTTTGATTGCATAGTTTGTAGTGATTAAATTTGTCATGAATTTACTTTGAGAAATTAACAATAAGTACTATTTTAAGAAAAAATATTTCTTCAACTTTTTTTGAAGGAGAATTCCTGAGAAAATAAAGTTAAGGGTTTTTTTTTGGGGGGGGGCTGTAATTTAAAAGATTACTTGTTTATAGCAAATGGATTTTAGAAAATATTTTGTCAGAAATATTTTGTCAGAAAATACCAGGCAGACAGTTGGATAGAAAAGTCTCCCTTGATGGCCACTGTGGTGAATTCCTAGGAAGAAGTAAGACCAGTTGCCCCAAGGCTGAGGAAGGCCACCCTGTGGACACAGGGATTAAAGCCTGTGAAGACTTTGAAGGGATAGAGAGAGGAAGAAAGGCACCTGAGAGGATGGGGGTGCCTTCAGAATGGAGAGGGAGCTCTAGCACCATCCTGGCATTAGGTGTGGCATGTGAAAGTCCACATTTCAGAGAGAGACACGCTCCCTTTCTCACACACCACTTTTGCTCAACAGCAGCACATGGGAGCAGGCAATACATGCACCTAAATTTTGTTAATTTTTTGAAAACGTTTTTATAGTAATGTATTACACATATGAACTGGACTTATTGCTTAAAATAAATTAATATTTAAAAGTTTCCTGTTCAAATTACAAATAAGGTGAACATCATATGTAAAACCAACATAAACGAAGAATGCTTTTTGAAAGTATAAAGATCATGAAGCCAAAAGTTTTGAGAATGGCTTGTCTAGGATTTAAGTGATTGTTTCATTGGTATACTGTGGAAATATTTTAACTGAAAATATTTATGAATAATTAAGCATAAAACAATTTCACTTAAAATTGTTTACATGTTCTATCAATTTCATTAGCAGCTTTTACTTTTGATCGTATGGGAAAAATCTTTTTTATTCTTCTATTTTTTTCTTTATCAATTTTCACAGCAATGCTGGTGTGAAAACATCCCTGCTCGAGCCTCAGTCTGAAATGGGAAGCACTGACATTCTGGAAAAGGACCCCTCAGGACGCCTCAGCAATGGCACCAACTGCAGTGTGGAAGCAGCCAGAAGGCTGGCCAAACGTCTTTACCAGCTAGACAGGTTTAAAAAGTCAGATGTTGCAAAGCACCTGGGCAAGAAGTAGGTTTTTTTCCAAAGACTAGTATTTAAATTTACTGTATGCATGTGTATTTAGTAGTTGACTTTAATTAGTAACTCTAATTAGTAACTGCTATAATTTTTTTATAGCAATGAATTTAGCAAACTTGTTGCAGAAGAGTACCTGAAGTTTTTTGATTTTACTGGAATGACGCTGGATCAGTCTCTCAGGTATGATTCAATATTACTTTGCCTCCAAAAAATTAATTCAAAGAAAAAAAGTAAGTAAAGAAAATCTGATGTTTTTAAGACCACAACAATTTGCTGACTTAGTTTTAGACTTTATTGTAGAAATTAAATGTAGTTGTAATTATGACAAATATTTTATTTTATGAAATTAGATTGAAAATCTTGTCATGTATCTACTAAATGATAAAGAATGGAGGTAGAGTAAGGCCCAAGGAAAAAATAAAATTTCAAGTTTTAAATTACTTATGTTATAGGTTTGGGACCATACCTGGTGGTTTATAGTACTTACTTCTGGCTCTGTATTCAAGCAACTCACCTGGCAGGAGTCAAAGGGGACCTTATGGGGTTCCAGGATTCAACCTGAGTTGGATTTGTGCAAGGCAAGTTGCCCACTGTAGTTTCTCTCTAGCCCTGATTTTTTTTAAGCACTGGAGCAATAGCACAGTGCATAAGGCGTTTGCCTTGCACACTGCTGACCCAGGTTCAATTCCTTTATCCCTCTTGGGGAGCCCGCCACACTACTAAAGGTATCCCACCCACAGGGAAGATCCTGGCAAGCTCATATTCGATATGCCAGAAACTGATGCATGCTTGAGCATAATTGATGAACAGCTGGAGTACAGTGCTACAGTAGTTCCTGAGGAACAAGGAGATTTTGATGAAGAATCATTAATTAAATAAATCAAAAATGAGATTTTCCCAGAGTTAAGGAGTGCACACTCTCAGATTCAAGAGACCTGAAGGATCCCAATGAAAAAATGGCACAGTAACACAGTGCTCCTGTTGTTCATCGATTTGCTCGAGCGGGCCAGTACCGTCTCCATTGTTGAGACTTGTTACTGTGTTTGGTATATTGAATATATCACGGGTAGCTTGCCAGGCTTTGCCGTGTGGGCGAGATACCCTCGGTAGCTTGCCAGGCTCTCGGAGAGGGGTGGAGAAATCAAACTTGGGTCAGCCCAGTTGGTTGCATGCAAGGCAAACGCCCTACCTGCTGTGCTATCACTACAGCCCAATAAAAAAAATACTCAAAATTACTCCAAAGCATATTATAATTCAAAGATATAGAGAATTGAAATTCAAAGAAAGAAGATCTCTGATGTCAAGATCAAAGAAGAAAATTACACATGAAGCATAAGATAAGAATAACTTAAGAATAACTAATGAGGAAATGTAATATTTTAAGAGGGGGAGATGCTCAGATCAACCTTGACCCCAGAATATAGGAAGAAGAGGGAAAGAAAGAGTGGAATAAAGGGGCAGAAGAAACAGATTAGAAGCAATGGGTATCAGGTACAGAGGTGGAGTTGAGGAATGATAAAGCCAAATATCCAACCACAGTGTCAACAACACTGAAATCAAGAGACCCAAACTTTAACAAATGAATTCTAAAAGGTGCCTGTCAAGAGGGCAGGCTGGGTGTGGGTATGCGGTATTGGGTTGGAGATATGGAAAGGAATTTGTAAACATTGGTGGTGGGAAGTTGATAATGGTAGTGGGATCAGTGCTGCAATAATGTATGACTAAAAACTCAACTATAAATAACTGTAAATTATGGTGATTTAATAAATATTTTAAAGGTTCACAGCATATTTATCAAGTAAAACTCTATAGGTCAGAAGAAAATAGTGAGAAAAAGTAAAACAAAAAGCAAACCAAAACAAACAAATGATATAAATACTTAATGAGAAATTCTTTATCCAGATGTATACATAACAATAGCTCAGGAACTTCATAGCCTTGAAACCAACTTTGAAAGAAGCATTAAAGGGGTTCTTCAAAACAACACATGCATAATAAATACACATAGCTTCCAGAAAGGGATGGCAAAAATACTCTTTCATATCAATAATCTCACTCAAAGTCTATGGTCTAAGTGCCCCAATCCAGAGATACAGAGTATCAGGACAAATCAGAAAAATAATCCTTACTTTCTATTATCTACAAGAGATGCATTTGAACAGTGAGGACAAATACAGACTCAAAGTCAAAGATGGAAAAAAATTACTAAAGCAAATATTTCTCTTAAAAAGCCCTGGGTGGGGGCTGGAGTGATAGCACAGCGAGTAGAGTAGGGCGTTTGCCTTGCACATGGCTGACCCAGGTTCGATTCCCAGCATCCCATATGGTCCCCTGAGCACTGTCGGGAGCAGTTCCTGAGTGAAGAGCCAGGAGTAGCCCCTGTGCATTGCCAGATGTGACCCAAAAAACCAAAAAAAAAATAAAAAGGCCTTGGGTGGCAATACTTGTATCAGGCTATGTATTCTTTGAGACAGTATGTATGTTATGAGACAGTATGGTCACTTCTGAATGATAAAGGGAAGATACTGAAGAATTATCATGAAGAACTCAGATTACTGAACATTAATTAAGCACCTAGTGAGGGATACACATTTTTTATAAAACTGATAACAGACCTGATGGAAGATACTGATAGCAATACATTGATAGCTGATACTTCAATACCATTTCATCAAGTAGTCAAACAAAAGAAGGAAATAATGACTTTAATGGAAGACATGGAAGAGATGAACTTATCAGACATAGATAAGGTTTTCTTCATTACTAAAAAATCAAAAACAGTGAATATGAGATGTTTTCCAAAGGTAAAGGTAAAAGGCCCTCCCGTTGATCGTCGATTTGCTCGAGCGGGCCCAGTAACGTCTTCATTGGAGACTTTGTTGTTACTGTGTCTGGCATATCGAATACTCTCGGTAGCTTGCCGGGCTCTCCGAAAGGGGCAGAGGAATCGAACTCGGGTCGGCCATGTTGGCCGCTTGTAAGGCAAACGCCCTACCTACTGTGCTATTGCAGTTTTCCAAAATAGACCATATATTGGGGTTACGAAATATATCTTCATAAATTTAAGAAGATATAAGTTGTACCAACTATACTCTCAGACCATGATTCATTGAAGATGAAAATTAATCACAAACAGAAACAAAGAAAACCCTCAAGCACCTGGAAATTAAATAATTCACTACTGAACAATCAGTGGATCAAAGATAAATTAGAAAATAAACTTTCTGGAAGAAAACAAGCATAAAAATATGAGCTACCACAATATACAGGACACAGCAAAAGAAACGTTAAGACAAACCATCTACAATAGTGCAAGCAATAATTAGAATATAAGCAAGGATCCACATAAATAACCTATGTGGCCACAAGACAGGTCTACTCTGCAAATTAGAAATTGCTTGTAATTATACTGACTCATTCAGTGAAGTCAGTCAGAGAAGCAAAAGAGAAACCCCCAGTCTAATCCTTCAGAGTCTTCCAAGGAATCTAACTAAAAAGACTCACCCATAGCACAATAGTAACACTAGAAAACCAAAGGGGGCATCATATACTTACTAAATTTAATGGGGTTCCAGGATTCAACCCGAGTTGGATATGTGCAAGACAAGTCCCTTGCCCACTATAGTTTCTCTCTGGCCTTGAATTTCTTTTTTTAAAAGCACTGGAGTGATAGCACAGTGTGCAGGGCATTTTTGCCTTGTACACTGTTGACCGGGTTTCGATTCCGCCGCCCCTCTCAGAGGTCCTGGCAAACTACAGAGGGTATCCCTCCCACAGGGCAGAGCCTGGCAATCTCCCTGTGGCATATTTGATATTCCAAAAACAGTAACAACAAGTCTCACAATGGAGATGTTACTGGTGCCCACTCGAGCAAATCGATGAACAGGAGGACAGTGCTACAGTGCCACTGTCAAATATAGATTTACAGCTGTTTCTAAGCATATTGACAATAGCCAGAAAGTCCTTTGAGACCATACTTCGTAATGATCAGAGTAAAAATATATCAAAATCATCAGAATATCTGAGAATAAGTACCTGTAAATGATTTTAAGTCTTAAGCAATTTTTTAACTGTTCTGATCAAAGTTTAACATACTTAAAATTTTCAGAGAAGTGCCAGGGATTATGATGGGCATACTGAATAAAATTCAATTGTTCATATTTTAACTATCAAATTTAAGGCATATTGGATCATTTTCTTAGTTTTTATATTTTTCTTCTCTTGTTTTATAGGTATTTCTTTAAAGCATTTTCTCTTGTGGGAGAAACTCAGGAACGAGAGCGAGTTTTAATACACTTCTCCAATAGATTTTTTTATTGTAACCCAGATACCATAGCTTCACAAGGTAATTCATAGGCTTGAATTTTTATTATAACATTTACTTTTCTCATTATGAAGTTAGAATTTATTGTGGAAAACATGGACAGTTATACAGAAGAAAATGAAGTTTTTATTATTATTATATGACTACTGTTAACTGATTAACTTTTTAAAATATCTATGCAATGTTTAATGCCATATTGAGCCTTTTCTTATGTAACCAAATATACTTTAAAAAGATATTTAATAATTGCACAATATCCCTTAGTCTTTGAATTTTACTATGTTCTAGTTTTTAAATCTTTATTGAAATATTGTGATTTATAACAATAATGTTCATGATGGTTTTATGAAAGCATTATTTCAACACTATATCTGTAATCAGAATGCCTTCTCTCTGCCAAAGTCCCAAATGCCCCTTCTTTTCAACGCATCCACATTCTCAAAAACTCAACTCTGGTTAAAGAAACTTTGGTACATCTACACAATGGAGTACTATGTAGCTTTAAGGAAAAATGAAGTCATGAAATTTACATACAAGTGGTACTATATGGAAAATATCATGTTAAGCAAAATGAGCCAGGATGAGAGGGACAGACATAGAAAGATTGCATTCGTCTGGGGAACATAAAGTAACAAAATAGGAGACTAATCCCCAAGAGTAGCTTTCATAAATACCAGGAGGTTCACTCCATGGCTTGGAGCCCAGCTGCACACTTTAGGGGTAAAGGCAGCTCAGATAGAGAAGAGAGCACCAAATAAAGGGTGTTGGGAAGATCCTCCCAGGATGGGAGATGCATGCTGAAAGTAGACTATAGACCGAACATGATTGCCACCCAATGCCTCTTTTGCAAACCACAGCACCCAAAAGGAGAGAGAGAACAAAAGGGAGTGCCAGGGTTGGATGGGGGGGGTGGGGGGGTGGGAGGGATACTGGGATTGGTGGGGGTGGAGAATGGGCACTGGTGGAGGGATGGGTACTTGATCATTGTATAACTGAAACCCAAGCACAAAAATTTGTAAGTCTACAACTGTATCTCATGGTGTTTCATTAATAAAAATTTAAGGAGAAAAAAAAACTCAACTCTGTTGACCCAAACTCCTATTCTGTTGCCTTTGGCCCTTTGCTTTAATATGCATAATTATACCCAAATATGAAAGAGATCATTCTTTATCTGTCTCTTTCTTTCTTACTTACTGCACTCAGCATGATACCCTCTGGGTCATCTATGTTGTGACAAATTCCAAAATTTTGTCCTTTCTTGCAGTTGTATAGTATTACATTTACATTTTCAACCATTCACCTGTAGTTTGGTATTTTGGTTATTTCCATATCCTGGCTGGTGTTCTAAGTGCTACAACAAACATTGCTGTACACGTGTATATTTTTGAATTTCTATTTTTTTGGTTTTGAGGGTATATGCCAATAATTTATATTGCTGGGTTGTATGGGAGTTACATTTTTACAATTTTGAGAGGTTTCCATTGAGGTTGAATCAGATGATATTCTTATGAGTAGTGAATGAGAGTTCCTTTTTCACCACAACTTCACAAACACTTGCTATTTCCAGATTTTTTAAATGATATCTCATTGTTTTGGTTTGCTTTCACCTAATTATATGTGACCATGGACAGTTTTTTTGAGGGGCTTGGGGGTCCACACCTAGAGGTGCTAAGAATCACTGATGGGCTTGGGTGACTGTGTGGGATGCTGGGTATTGAAATGCGTTGGTGGTGTGGTGGGCAATCTCCCTACTCACTGTATTATTGCTCCAGCTGCATGGCAAGCCACTTTCATGTGCATATTGTTTTTATTTGCCTTTCTTGAAGAACTGTCTGCTCATCTTCTTCCCCACCCCCATTTTGAATGAATCATTGGATTTTTTGTTTTTTTAACTCTCTTAGTGCTTTATATATCTTGGATATTATTAGCTTTTGATTTAATATATTGTGTGTAAACATCTTCTCCCATTCAGTAGGGTGTAATTTTTTCTTTTGCTTTTATATAATTGCTTTTTTTTAAAAAAAAATTGAATCACCATGAGATAGACCATTATAAAACTGGTCACAATTGGGATTTAGCCATACGATGTTCCAATGGACCGTACTACTGTTCCAGAAGGGAGACATCCATGACATTGGCAACTATCGCCCGATCTGCCTATTGTCTGTCATCTACAAGTTGTTCACTCGAGTCATCCTGAATAGGATTGGCAGAACACTAGACGAAGGACAACCATGTGAGCAAGTCGGGTTCCGCAAAGGATTCAGCGCCATCGACCATATCCACACGATAACCAAGCTCATTGAGGTTTCTCGGGAGTTCAAGATGCCGCTCTGCTTAACGTTCATTGATTTAAAGAAGGCCTTTGATTCTGTTGAGACGGAAGCGGTCATTGAAGCCCTAGCCAATCAGGGCATTCAAGCCCAATACATCAGGATCCTCCGTGAGCTGTATTGCGGATTCACTACCAGGATCTCACCATTCTACAAAGAAGTGATCGTTGATGTCAAGAGAGGGGTGCGGCAGGGTGATACCATTTCACCAAAACTCTTCAGTGCCACCCTCGAGAACATCATGCGACGACTGGAATGGGAAGGAATGGGAGTGAAGATAGATGGTCGGCAACTACACCACCTCCGCTTTGCTGATGACATTGTTTTAATAACACCAAACATCAGCCAAGCGGCACAAATGCTGGCCGACTTTGACCGTGAGTGTGGAAAGGTAGGACTACAGCTGAATCTTACGAAGACAATGTTTATGAGAAACAGCCTTGTTCCTGACGCCCCATTCGCTCTCAATGGAACGACCATCTCCGAATGCAACAGCTATGTGTACCTAGGTCGAGAGGTCAACATGACAAATGACCTGGCACCCGAGCTGCGCATGAGGAAGAGAGCGGCTTGGAACGCCTTCAAGAACGTCGAAGAAATAGCTAAGAGGACGAAGAACCTCCGGCTCCGGGCACATCTCTTTGATTCCACTGTTCTTCCTGCATTAACATATGCCTCAGAGACCTGGGCCCTACGCAAACAAGATGAGAACGCCATTCAGGTCTCCCAGAGAAGAATAGAAAGAGCTATGCTTGGAATATCACGTTTCACTCAAATGAGAGAACGAATCCGGAGTTCTGACATCCGTCGACGATCAAGGATCAGGGATGCTGTCTCATTTGCCAAGGTGTCGAAAATCAGATGGGCTGGTCACGTAATGAGATTTAAAGACGACCGTTGGACTAGAGCTGTTACTGATTGGATTCCACGGGATGTCAAGAGACCGCGTGGCCGCCCACCTACCGGATGGTCAGACTTCTTTGTCAAGATCATGAACGATCGGTTTGAGGCCCTCCATGTTCCCGGAGCGAAGAGATGCCATTGGGCTACACTAGCATGCGACAGGGACAAATGGAGACGTTACTGGCGCCCGCTCGAGCAAATCGACGACTAACGGGAAGTTAAGTGTGATTAAGTGAAGTGATGTTCCAATACCCATTCCTCCACCAGTTTACATTTCCCACCACTAATATCTCCAGTTTCCCTCCCCCAATATCCCCACTGCCTCTATGGTAGACATTTTTCTTGTTTCTTGTTTCTCTTTCCTTTACTACATTATCATTTATAGTACAGGTAGTGATCAGTCATTGTGCTTGTTTAGGGCATTCAGTAGTTTTATTGGGAAGATACAGCTGGAATAGCCTTTTTAACTGGGTGGCAGCTTTGCGGGTATGGATTTGACTGCTAAGCTTCTGGAAGTATAGGGAGGTGGGGAGAGGTAGCCCATCTCGACTGTGAGAAAGCCTTGAGATTTCAGTTAAAAAAAACCTGCATACCTGAATTTTCAGCAAGTTAATATCTTGGTGAGGTCCATTCTGGGCCATAGTGGCAATTTTGGATTTGAGGAGCAAGTGGCTGCTGGAGGCTTTTGACAGGTACTGGGCTAACCCACATTTCCTCAGATATACCCCAAATTATTCAGCCATGCGTGGACTCAAGGATTTAGTTTGGCTTTTAATCTCTTTTGAGATTTATTTATGGGTCTCTGGAGCAAGACCAGAAGAAGGGCTTACATGCTCATGCTAGAGTTGGCTTGTGAGGGTGACTGACTGGGCATCCTGGAATATAGGGAAGTGTGGGGAGGTAGCCCATTTTGACCCTGAGAAAGCCTGGAGATTTCAGTCACAAAACTTGCATACCTGTATTTTCAGCAGGTTAATTACCGGTGAGGTCCTTCTTGAGACAGTGGGGTCCATCTGGGAACATGGTGGTGATGTTGGATTGTGGGAGCAAGGGGCTGCTGGGGGCTCTGTTTGGCAGGCACTTTGATCTAACCCAGATTATTTAGCCATGGACCCATCCTAGATGATTTACTGCGTCTTTTGATCCCTCTCAAGATTCATGAATCTCTGGAGCAAGTCCAATAAATGAGCTTGTATTGTGGGGCTGGAGGTGATTTTTGGGTGTGGCTTCTGCGTATTCACATGTCCATGGTTTAATTTCTTGGAAAACTTGTTCCCGAGTTGTTGAAGTCGGCCTGGAGGCATAACGGTTACTTTGGGGGTGTCAGGAAACCGGAGGGCACCATCAGACTGCTGATGCCCTCGCCCCATGGTTCCAGGTTGGCCTGCTGGCAGCTCTCTGCCAATGGGCCCAGTGGTGATGAAAGCCTTGACTCTGGCAGCAGCTGGGGTGCTGGGCGAGGTGACACCACCAGTCCAGCAGAACCTGACCAGGGGGCTTTCGCCCTGACAATTCGGTCTCCAGCCAACTGGAGCTCAGTGAGATTTTTTCGTCCATAGTCTTCTTCAGGTGGCACTGGCAGCGAGGGCTAGTCTGGGGCATCAGTGGTGGCCGGGACACCCTGCTGGTGAAAGCAGCAATTGCTGGGGCCACCCAAGTCGCCTCCCAAATGGTGGGAACCCCAGACACCTCTCAACTCGGACTTGTGCTCTGTGATGTTGCTAGGCTGAGCCGAAGAGTGCTAGTCATTCAGGCATAATTCTTCAGCACAGTAGTCTACAGCCCACAGGCCGAAAGCTGTGGCAGCTCCGTCTCCAGGCTGCCATGGTTCTACTCAGAGGCGTACTTTTTGAGATAGAATATTTCAAGGGCACCAACTCTCATTCATGTAGAAATGTTCTGATCCCATGGGCCAGCTTTGCAAAGTGTTGAGAGCTGCCACTCATCTCCAGCCTTAGGCCTACCACTCACTGCTGCCATTTTGGCTCCCCTCAGTAGGGGTATTTCTATTTTAGTTTGGGTATCTTTTATTTGTTTGTTTGTTTGTTTGTTTGGTTGGTTGGTTGGGTAGAATTTTTTCTTTTTTTAATTGTGAGATACATAGTTAAAAACCTATTCATAGCTGAGGTTCAGTCATAACAATGTTCCTACACCCATTCCTTCACCAGAGTGCATTTCCCACCACCAATGTCACCAGTTTTCTTCCCACCACCATCTTATGCACCAATGATAGACTGATAGACGCTTTCTCCTCTCTCTCTCTCTCTCTCTCTCTCTCTCTCTCTCTCTCATTATGGTAGCAATACATATACTAAAAGGTTGTCAGGTATATTATATGCATAATCTTTAATTTCTTGTAGTCCCATTAGTTTATTTTCATTTGTGTTGTCCTTTGTCTCTGTGGTCATCTCATCAAAGACACCTTTGTGGTCCATTTCCTGGAGAGTTCTGACTATTTATTTTCTTAAGTGTGTTTTTAGAGTTCTGATCTAATCTTGAGATTTGATCTAATCATGAGATCCTCAATGCACTCTTAATGAATAGTGCAACAAAGTTCCTTATTCATTATTTTTTCTTTTAGATGTGACTGTCCAGTTTTTCCAACAAATTCATTGAAAAGGCTGTCTTTACCCCACTGCATATACTTAGGTCCTGTCATAGATTAACTGCTCATATATTTGGAGGTTTAACTCAGGCATCTCAATTCAGTTACATTGCTCTGAGGGTGTAACTTATTCCAGTTCATGCACTTTTTATTATTATAGATTTGTAATGTAGTCCAAAATTGGGAAATATGATACTTACCATGTTTCCTTTTTTTCTTTCATGGATTGCTTTAGCTATTCTAGGAATTTTATGATTCTGTAAAAATTTTCATAGTTTGTTCGAAATCTTTTAAGAATATTGCTAAAATTTTAATGATATTTCATTGGGGCTGCATAATGTATTGTGTAGGAAGATTGTTTTGACAATACTTGATTATTTCAGTACATGAACAAGGAGTAATTTTTTCATTTCTTGGTTTTCTTGTCTATATTTTTAGCAGTGATTTATAAGTTTTTATAAGTGATTTATAAATTTTTAAGTTTAAGTTTTATTTATTTATAAGTTTTTATGTATTTATAAGTTTTTACTGTATAAGTTTTTCACCTCCTTTGTTAAAATGATTCAGTATTTGATGTTTTTTCAAGCTCTATTTTGAAAGAGGTTTTTTAAATTTTTTTTTCTAATTTACTGTTAGTGTAGAAAAATGTCATTCATTTTGGTATTAATTCTGTATTAATGTGCTTGTTTCTAAGAATTTTTTTTGGTTTAGTCTTCAGGGTTTTTTATTATATAATATGTCATATGGAAATAGTTATGTCTTGGCTACTTCTTTTCCAGTTTTAATCCCTTTGGTAACTTTTTCTTGTCTGATATTTGTGGTGAGGATTTCCAAAACTGTTCAGTAGAAAGGTGGAAGTGAACATTCTCGCCTTATGCTTGATCTCAGGGGAAGGCTTCTGTGTTTTCACATTGAGTATGATATTGTCTGTGGGTTTGCTGTAGATGGTTGTTATGGATGATAGATCTTATCGTAATATTTTTCTGTATAAAGGTATATGATTTTTATCTTTCCTTTTATTGATGCAATAGATTAAAATAATGCACTTGAGCATATTGAGCTATCTTTACATTCCTGGGGTGAACTCCACTTGAACATGCTGTATAATCCTTTTGATATATTGCTATGTTTGATTTTCTAGGATTTTGTTGAAGAATATTTACATTAGGGTTCATCAGGAGTATTGACTGAAAAGTTTCTTTTTTATGATTGAATAATTTCCAATTTATTTTCTATTTATTTCACTTTTGTTTTTATAATTTTTATCTGTTTTTGATGGATTATATTGACTTCATAGAGGCTCTGAACAGACAAAATATCTATTTCCTTGTTATTTTGAAAGAACTTGAGGACTATGAACTCTTAAGCCTGAAATTTGGATAGTACTTACAAGTGACCCCACCTGGAGCTGGATCTTTGTTCTTGGGGAGTTTTTTAATTACTGTTTCAATTTCTGTACTCAAGATTGTTCTATTCAGGTTTATTATTTTCTCTTGGTTTAATATTAGAAGTTTTTATGTTTCTAAGAGCAATTCATGTTCACAAGCTTCACGTTATAAAGTTGCTTATAGTAGTCTCTTATGATCTTTTATATTTCTGAGGTTTTTATTGTAATTTCTTCCCTGTAGTCTCTGATCTTATATGAGTTTTCTCTCTCTCTCTCTCTTTTTTTCTTGTTAACTCTAACTAAGAATTTGTCATGCTTTTCTATTCCTTTCAAGAACCGACTCCTGGTTTAATTTACCTCTGTGTATTCTTTTTTTTAATTTTTTATATCATTGATTTCCTCTCTAATTTATATGATCTCTTTCCTTCTACTTGCTTTAGGGGTCATTTGTTGTTCTTTTTCTAGTTTCTCTAGCAGTGAGGTTAGAGTATTGATTTGAGTTTTTATTTTATTCCTAGTTTGCATTTGAAAAACTGAACTTTCCCCTTAATAGTGCTTTTGTTGTGTCCCTAGATTCTTGCAATTAGTGTCTTTATTCGCATTTGTTTTGAGGAATCTTTTGCCTCCTTCTTTGATTTCTTCTTGGATATAATTGTTATTTAGAAGCATATTCTGTTCATTTTCCAAATGTTTAATATTTCCCCACTTTTTAATGGTTTATTTTTATAGTTTGAGAGGATACATGGTATTTCTGTTTTGGTGATTTTGTGAATATTTGTGTTGCATACAACATGAATTATCCTGGAAAATGTGTTCTGAGTGCACTAAAAAAGAATGAGTTTCAGGTTTTTTTATTTTAATGGGGGTAGGGAGCATGGCAGTGTGGAGCCTCTTACATACGTATGTATATTAATGTATATTAGACCTAGTACTCCAGTTTATTATTTTGGGCTCTTGCTTCATTATTGATGTTTTGAACAGCTGATCTGTGCAATGATGACAGTGGTGTTTTATACAGTGTATTGATGCCAGTGTATTGATGATATCAGTACAGTGTCATCAGTGTAGTGATGGCATTGGTGTGTCGAAGGCCATTGTGCTGCCATTGACGTGTTTCTCCAGGTTTGTTTGCATTTTTTGTACATTTTGCTGCATCATCATTTGCTGTGTTTGCATAGATGAGATATATCTATCCCTTAACCAGTATGCTATGTCCTTCCCTATCTTTTATCTTCTATAGTTTGAATGCTATTTGGTCTCAAATCAGTATAGCTGTCCCTGCTTTTTCTAGTTTGCCATTAGCCTGTATGTTTGTTTTCTAGGGATCCACTCTGAATCTGTGTTTTTCATGAGAATTTAAGTGTGCCTCCTATAAGCAACAGAAGTTGGATTTTATTTCCTGATCCGTCCTGCTGCTCTGTGCTCTTATATTGAGATGTTAGTTCATTGACTTTTTAGATAACTGATAGGAAGAGATTTGTTGCCCTGTTTGTAGAGGTTTGTTGCTTGTGCTATGTGATTTTTTTCTTTGTATATGTGGCCTTTTACTGTCATTGCCAGGGCTGTATTGGACTTCAAATATATTCTGAGAATGTTTTCATCTTTTCCCCCATTCTTGAATTTTTACTCACTGAGTATTTAATTTTAGTATTATATTTATTAAAAAATTTATAATGTTCTAGAACAATTTCTAAAGAATGACTCGAATGACAATGGCTATTCTTATATACATATATTTCTTTATTTTTATTTTATTGTTACCATTTTTTTATTTGGAGGACACATGCAGTGGTATTCAGAGACTACTGACACTATGCTTAGGAATAAGCTGGTAGTACTTGAGAATCACACTGTGGACATGAAACCCATATTTCCTAGAGAGATAACATGTGCTCATCCTTTTGATTTCTCTTCCTAAATATAAGGAAATAATAAAAGGAAGTAAAGAAAACAGTAAACAGTTTAGATGACATATTTCAAAACTTTATATACAAATTAAAAAATATTTATTCAGAGACATTTTCATTGTGTAACTTAGTTATTATATTAAAATAGAATCACAGGACCAGAGAGAAAATACTGCAGGTAAAGTGCTTGTCTTGTAAGGAACCAGCTGGTTTTGATCCTGGTACCCAGCGAATTGATGCTTTTTGTCCTGTTCTCTTTTCTAAGATGGAGTTCACTGCCTGACCTGTGCAATGATGCTGCTTAATACAGATCTCCATGGCCATGTAAGTATGTGATTCTGTCTACAGAAACTTCAAATAATTTGAGTTTATATTTGCTTTTGTGTACATACACAGTTCTTTACCACTTTTTCCTGCATTCTACATGGTAGATAAATGCAATTTTGAGGATTAAAAGTATCTTTTTTTTACATGCTAGCACAACATACTTTTTAATTGACTATTATATTAACTGTAAGTTTGAAGTTTTATTTCTAGCATTGTTGTTCTGTATATCCTTTTTCACTAGGTGGCAGGCTTTTTTTTCCTAAAGTTTATTTTGTTTTTTGATAGTAGGGCTTATAGTGATGATGAAAAAGGAATAATAGAAGTTTGATACGAAAATGTTTATTGCATTTTCACTAATTATAGTGGTTATTTTTAAAAATTCAGCACTTTCCAAACTCCTTATCTTACTTGATTTTGTTCCCTAGTTCAAAAAAATTTGTAACTTCATTACCCTCACATCTACTAAATAAATATAGGATTAATATATTAAACTTACAATTATATGTAAACCTTTAGTTTTCTTTCGGGTAGTACACCAAAACTCCTTATAGCACCTCGAATTATCTAGCACCGTAATAAGCCTACTCCTTTATTCCTGTACTCTAAACGTTTAAACGTTTACCTTTTGTAGGTACAGAATTTTAGCATTTCCTTAAATGTGTTCATCTTCAAGAAAATGAGAATATTTTAATCAAATAATTACTTCACAGTCCCTTGTCTATTTTAAAGAAAAGGTCGGTTTCATAGAACTAGTCTGGAGCAGCTTTTTCAGTTAGAACATATTCTATGGACCCCAAGGGAGCCACAGATGAAATAACATAAATGGGTAGCCATGGCATGAGAATAGTGGGCCAACAGATGTGACAAGGGAACTCTGGGAAGTTATCAAGGAAAGGAGGGTGAGAAACAAGTCAAGGGCCACTGGTCTAGATGAAACTTTACTTCTAAAATAAGATGCACTTTACAAATTAGAAAATCACATTAAAATCTTTCAAATATTGTAATCTATCCAAATCTTCCATATTATTCCAGATGACCATATAATTGTTGATCATTTACAGCTGTGCTGCTTCTCTTTAATAAAGACAAACTTTAAAAATAAATTAAAAGAAAAAAATAAGTTCAGAAAAGCAAACAAGTTATATAGATCTTTAATATATCCTAAGAATGTATATACTCACAGAATGATACTTTGAAGTTGTACAAAATACCTTTCTTTAAATAGTAGTTTGTTACATTTTCAGTTTGTGGAGATTTAATTAAGTGACTTGTGGGCATATGTAGCATGTTTAGAAATTACATAGACTATAAGTACAGGAAATTTTAGGGGTCATTCTTAGCAAAAGATAGCATGTCTTGAGTAACAGGTCTTGTAGAAATGAGGACACAGAACTTCCCACAATGTGTATCTTGAAATAATTGTAAAAATCTAATACTTGTCCAATTTGTTGTCGGGATGACAACTTAATATATTTACTTAACGTCTGTTTTTCTGTGATCAGTGAAGCAAGCTTTAATTTCTTTCTGTACCAGTCTTAAGATAACATTTAGGACTCTGTCCTCCTCTTTTACTTTCATTCATTTTCTCTACTGTATGTCACTATGAAATAGGATTTAGTACATATTTGTTCATATTTAACTTTGATCCAAGTCAGCGGTTTCTATTTTGAGGCATCTTTATGTTATATACTTTCAGTTAATATTTTACATATGAGATTTAAATGCATTTAGCATGTTTACTGAGAAAAATCTATAATAAGGAGAAATATTTTAAAAAATACCATAACAGTTTAGTTCTTATTTATAAGTTGAGGATCTCATAAAAATTCTCTGGATGTTAATATGTTATAAGAAAATTTTTTCCATCAAAAGCGGTTTAAAAAATACAAACACTGTTTTTACACAGTACTTTTATACAAATATGTCTTACTAATCACATTAATTTGAAACAGTAGTAAATAAACTATTTTTTATTTATTTAGATAATTCTTATACCATGTTCATGAGCAACCCAGTGTCTGTAGCGCCAGACATTTATTGAAAACCACAGAAACTAGATTTGATTTTTCTGTGTCTTTAGATGGCTTTTGATGATAAAAATGAGATTAAATGAAATATCAGAGTTTGGGGAAATTGCAATAAGGGAACAGTTCATATGAACATGTGTTATTATGCCAGTCATACATTATTAGCTGATTATAGTGACAAATGATATATAAGAGAAAAAACTAGAAGTACAAGTAAATCTTTATGTTGTTTTTAAAATGATATTTTTGATGGCTAATAATTCTCAACTTTCTTTTGTGATAGATACTTAGATACAGGTATATTGGTATAACTAAATATTTCTTATTTAGGTTAAATTAGTTTAAATTTCTAATTTATAATGCACGTTATAAATATTTTCAATGTATCATAGTTATTATAAGAACTAATTGTTTTTTTTTAATCTTCCTCACATGGGACTCTTTAAAAATAAATTTTTCTTCTAGGTGGTAAGTTTTTGTTTATAATTCTGGATATAGCTTCTCTTGCATCATGACTGCCTGACTTCTACATTATGTTTTTGACTCACTGGCATGACCACTGTGAAAGTAATTTTTTCAGAATATAAAGTGAATAATTTTTAATGTCTAACCTTTTTCACCTTCTCCTTATGCTCCCCCTCACCCTGGGCTATTCCCTCTAATTATGTGGTTCAGTGCTATATGAACTTTTTAAGGGAATGAACCATTTTCCTTTTCTGTCTCACCTAAATCTTGTATTAACAATATGCAGCATGCCCTTTCTAAGAATTGAGGCAGAGTGGTACTCAAACTTTCAGTTGGGGGTGCATAATTTGAGAGATTAACTTCATTCGGCTTTTCTTGGTGTGTTTCACTTACTCTAAGGCAGTGTTTCTCAACCTTTTTCAGCTGTGTTTTCTTTCTGTTATGCTGCCCATATTGTCCTAACAGTTGGGTCCTGCTCTCATGCTCCTCGTGTGCATGATTTTCAGCTGTAGCCCCATTAGAGTATCCTCAAGGACCCACACAGTTGAGAAACACCGCTCTGAGGAATAACGTGCTGGAAATTAATTAGTATGGTCATTTATTTCTCCTCCTAGTTTTCTAACTAATAAAATGATAGAATGCACATAATATAATCTAAGATAGTTTTGAATATTGTCTTTCGTTTTCTATTTTGTTCTTTCATTCCACAAACATATGTTAATGATGAATTCCAAGTTTATGCCTTTTGGGTAAGGCTCATAATTGAATGAGAACATTCATGGAAATCATTGTTGGTTACATTGACCTAATATCTGCAATCAGGTTTAACAGAAACAAGGGGGAGAGGATGAGTAGCAGGTAACTGAGGTAACTGTGTTGGAAAAACACTGGGAGATATTTTCTTTAAGTAGACTAGCAAAATAAAAAAATATAAAGTTAAAAATCATTTTGAGAAAAATTTCAGTCTATTCTTTGAACTTACAATGGGGATGCCCTTCAGTATTTTAAAATTTAGGAATGAGAGGGGCAGAGAGAAGTACAGTGGTTTGGCTCTTGCCTTGCATGTTGTCGTCTCGGGCTCAGTTTCCAGTACTCCATATTGTCTCCCCAAGCCTCGCCAGGAGTTGCTGAGGAGTAAACCCTGAGAACTGCTGGATATGACCCCTTTCCCCCAAAAAGAAAGCAATAGAAATTATCAATGATTATTTTACCATTAAGATTGACTTTCTTTAACTCATCTGCTGGTGGCTTATTCTCAAATTAAAAGCCATTTTATAATTGTTTCACATGATTAATTTGCATGGTAATCTCTTTTAATAATGTCTTTTTGTGAAAGATATATGTAAATCAAACTTTTGCACATTTAGTATATAGAAATAGTCTCTGAGTCTTGGCCGCTGATGGGATTACACGGCGCCAGGGGGCCAGGTGGTGGGTGTGACCCCCGCCTACTGGAATTTGGAGGATCTGGGTGGAAGATGCTCGACTCCAATTCGAGTAGGCTTGGAGGTCTTGGCCCCGGAACCCGCGTGGCTTGGTCCCTCTGCCAGTACCTTCAGGTGTGCGGAGAGTGGTCTCAGCATGGTGGTGGCTGGTCCTGGAGGTCTTCGGCTGCCGTAGCCCTGGTCGGGGCGGGGAGGAAAGCTCAACCCGCTCCCCTCCAAGGGACTCCGGGAAGGAACACCCAGGCGCGGGGGCAGAGACTGCACTGTTCTCGTCCGGGATCTGGATTTTATAGTCTCTGAGTCTTGGCCGCTGATGGGATTACACGGCGCCAGGGGGCCAGGTGGTGGGTGTGTATAAAATCCAGATCCCGGAACCGCGCGGCCGCGAAAGCAGCCGCGCGACATCTTAACAAAACTTTTTTTTTATGACATCTTATTATCTTATTTCTACTTTGGACAAACTTGCAGGCTATCGAATGTAGCCTGCCCACAGGGCAGAGTCTGGCAAACTCCCCGTGGCGTACCAAATATGCCAAATACCAGTAACAATGATGGGTCTCACTCTCCTAAATAGCCTTGAATATAATCTCAGGGCTAGGATGAAAGAGACGTTACTGGGGCCTGCTCGAGTATATAGAAATATTGTGAAACCATTTCAGTTGTTTCTATTGAAAGAATTCAAGAGTTATTTTTGTTTTCTTCTGCAGCTAAGTTGAACTTTGCTTGAGCTATAACAAAGACAGCATTGAAAATTATTTTAACACTGTATAAATATTAATTTTGTTTTTTTACACTAAATTTTTTGTATGTGTTCTGTTGAGTACAGTTGGCTCTTTTATACATAGATTCAACTCTCATAATAGGTTATTGTTAAAAGAACAGTTACACTGGTAAAGGGAAGTGAACACTGGTGGTAGAATTTGTGTTGATATACTCTATGCCTAAAATTTAGCTATTGATAAATTTATTAATCAGAATTCTTTAACAAAAAATTTAAAAGAACAGTAAGAAGGGGCAGGGCAATAGACAGGAACTTCACCAAGAGGAAAAATTTTCACCA